AGGCTGGCACAGATAGCAGGTGTGTCCATGAATACTGTACACCTGCCCTTTGGGACCTCAGATAAACATCTTCAGCTTCCAGACTTCTCCCTTGTTACCCCTAAATCTTGTAGGGGCCCCAGTCAGGGCTCCCATGGAAGGCCAGCTCTGTCCTGGCACTATCCAAACAGAAGCGTGTCCCTGGAGGTGTAAAAATGAAGTGCTTTCAATGAAGGCAGCAAAACTGGGGATGGTAGGTGATTCAAGGGCAACTCTGTAACCAATGAGGACATGATGATAAATGAAACTGAAGTTGTGTGGTCTGGCCTTGAGCTCTACCCCGTCATGCAGCCCCAGACTGCTCGGGCCTGACAGTTGTGACACATGCTCTCCAGAGGGGAGGCAGGTGGTTTTCAACACAACGGGACTCAGAATAATGCTTATTGGCAGCTCCTTCTGGCATGACTTCAGATGTGGCTGGTGTCAGGGCAGGATCCAATCTTGTGCTAGTTATTACCTGAGTCCTTTGATGGGGACTGTCCTCATCTCCCTCACCACACACACACACACACACCCACACACACACAGACACACACCACCCACCACCTTTCCCATCTGTGTTTGTGCAAAATGGACTTCATATCCCAAAACACACCACAGTACATCCCAATCCCAGCTCCTCACTATAATTTTATCTCGAATTCATCTCCAGTATCCCATGAAGCAAATAGGAAATGGCCTTTTATCATTCATGGAGATGAATGTGTGTGTGTGTGTGTGTGTGTGTGTGTGTGTGTGTGTGTGAAAGAAAGAGAGAGAGAGAGAAGGCTAAATTCTGTCTTCCTCAGGTGTCAGATTCTTTTCTGAGTAACGTCTGAGATGGACAGAGCAGATGGATTAATATATCCACTGTCAAAATGTCTCCTGGTCCCTATTCTTGCTAGAAGCACCAGATCACATCCCCAAACAGCTGCAACATACCCCTGGACACAGCCAGGAAGATTTTGTAAACTTTCTTCTTTTTTTGATAAATGTGATGTCTTGTATTTCAGGACATAAAACAGTCTCTCTTTAAAGCCATCACAGGAGAGGGAGGTGTGTGTTCCCCTCAGTACAGTGGAATCTGGCGGTGAATCAGAGGCTTAAGGAACAAATTTGAATCCTGTCCCATGTCAAGAAGAGGAATACACAATTCAGAGGTTGATGTGTTTCTCTTCTTGTGCCCCATCCCAGGCTCAGTTCTGCCTTCTTTCACGAGGCTTGAGGTCTGTGGAGCCAGGGACATTGGAAGACTGCCCGGGGTCCTGATTCCTCTGGTTGGGGGCGAGGGGAGGAGGCAAGGTGTGACCAAAGGTCACCGTGGTCTTGGGGTGAGCGTGTAGGGCACACACAGGGGGAAGGCTCAGAGTTCTGGACAGAGTTTCTGAAACTTGTCATTAACAAGGGACAGAGAAAGAGCAGATGAAAAGGAGATGAGGGTAACATCAAAGGAGTTATTTTAACAAGGGAGTGCGTCGTACGGTCGGAATCACCATCTGAGGCTTTCCACACGGCCCATCTGTGTATTATATAACGTGCAGGATTCCTGTTAAATCTTGCACTGGAGGGACTTCCTTTATTAATGTTTTTAATGGGGACTGGGATCTCCAGGAGGGAGGCTCCTGGGAAAGAGGGGGTTTGTAAGAACTTTGTGGACTTTGGGACCTGCCCACGGCGCAGCACAGGGCTGACCTCCCTGTCTTTCTTCCATCTGCCCTCCAGCCCAGCCTTGGTTGCTGTGGGGTCTCATGGTTGAGCATCTGTTCCCGTGACTCCTCTTTCCTTCTGTTTTTTCTCCTTGGAAGGTTCCTTCCCCTCCACTCAGCCCACAGACGTGTTTATTGTGAGGGTTTCTGTTGTTCTCTCCGTGATGGTTCTTGGGTCTCTAGCTCTAACTTCAATCTGTTTGCAGGGCTCCAGGCCACATATTGGAGAAGGACGTGGCAACCCACTCCAGTATTTTTGCCTGGGAAATCCCATGGACAGAGGAGCCTGGCGGGCTATTGCCCATGGGGCTGCCAAGAGTTGGACATGACTGAGCAACTAAACAACAAGAACAAGACCACATATAGCAAGGCTTATTAGGCCTCCCTACTTCATTGTCTCATGAGACCCTCCTTCTCAACAACACTTCCTCCCCCTCTTCTCTTGTGTCACCCAGCTTAGCCATCTCTGCCACCAGCCACACACCCGGTTGAAGACTCTAGAGATCACCCTTGGTCCCTCTTTCCTTCCCAACTGCAGTTCCCCACTTGCTTAACCCCATCTCTGAAGCATGTTGCCATCTATCTGCTTCCCTTTGTGCCCATGGCAACCGTCCTAGCCTCTGCGACCCTGATCTCTCACTGGCACCCCTGCATCCAGGTGGCTTAAAAGGCCATCTTCATGAACTTGGGCTACCTCTCAAGTCATCTTTCATCACTTTCTGTCTCTTACTCCATGTTCCAAACATTTTGAACTCCTTTTAGTCCTGCAATGAGCCATGCTCACACTGTCTGTGGCTGTTGCACAGATAATTCTCTGTGTCTAGAACACACACCTTTCCCCATCACAGCTCTCTCTCTCTAGCTCTCTCTCTCTCTCTCTCTCTCTCTCTCTCTCCTGCTGCTTTGCTCATCTTCTGTCATTTGATTGGTTTATGTATTTCCTCCCCATGAAAAACTTGCAGGTTGGGTTGACCATCGTCTCCTAAATCTCTCCCTTTCTATTACTCATTACACAGGATGAGTGACGTTTGTTTAAGTGTCCACTTTCCCAGCTGAATTACCTCATTAAACACATCAAATGCCTTTAAGAAAATATTTATTTATTTGACTGATCAGGTTGTAGTTGTGGCACGTGGGCTCTTTCATTGCAGCTCGTGGACTCTCTAGTTGTAGTGTGTGGGGTCAGCAGGTGCAGCAAGAGGACTTAGGACTTCTGTGCTATGTAGGGTCTTAGTGTCCCAAACAGGGATCAAACTCACATCCCCTGCACGGCAAAGCGGATTCTTAACCACTGGACCATCTCAGTCAAATGTCTTTCGCTTCTTATGTAGTTTTTGGTTTTGTTCTATCATTTTTAAATCAAAATTAAGTGAATTACGATATTGTGTTAGTTTTAGGTATACAGCAAAGTGATTCAGCTGTGTGTAGTAATACAGTAGCAGTTCAGAAGTGAATAGAGATCTATGCATGTGTCTCATTTCCCATGATTAATTAGAACCATTTATTATTCTTTAGTAAAGATTGGGTCAAGTTTCTGGTTCCTGGCACTTGGAGGGAAAGTCTCAGTTTGAGTTCTGGTCCTGGACCTTCCCTTCCTCCTTCCCTCTCTCCTTCTCTTCCTTTCTTTCCTTTTTTGTCTCTCTCTTCTTTATGTTTTTTTTCTTCATCCTCTCCCTCTGTCCTGAATGACAGGCAGGGTCTCAGCCAGTTCCTAAATTCATACTGTTTGACTTCAGAATGTTTATGCTTCCTTTTGATTTCTCATAATTTCTTATGATCACGGAATTATTGCTTGCTATCTTATTATGAAATATTTTATCTAACTTTGTATCTGTGGATCTCGACCATTCTTTACATCCTCCTGTGATGAAGAGGAGGAGAAGGACACTGATAGATATATTTATGGAGCTCTTGGAGTGTAACAAGTCCTAAATAAAGCATATTACGCAGATTTTCTACTTCAACTGACCCAATGGGCTAGTTAATATTTATTTCTCATCTTACAGGTAAGAAAACTAAAGTTTATGGAGTCTTCAACTTCATACCTACCCCAAGAGGCTGTGCCATTATTATCTTGTTATTATTTTAGACCAAAAACATCCTGAATGTGGTTGACTCATCTACTCGGGCTGCTACTGGGTGGCTTAAACAACAGGAGTGTATTTTCTTACAGTTCTGGGGGCTGGATAGTTCAAGATAAAGACTGGCCAGGTTTGGTTTCTATTGAGGGCTTCTTCCTGGCTTTCAGATCACTGTCTCCTCACTGTAACCTCATATGGTGGAGATAGAGAGATTAAAATTTTAGTTGTATTTATTTATTTGGCTGTGTAGGACCTTTTCTTACTTGCAGCATGTGGGATCTTTAGATGCAGTGTGCGAGCTCTTAATTGAGGTTGTGAGATCTAGTTCCCTGACCAGGAATTGAACCTACATTGGGAGCACAGAGTCTTAGCCACTGGACCACTAGGGATGTCCCTCTCTTCCTTTTCTTACAAGGCAAACAACCCTCTAGGTGAGGACCCGCCTTTATGACCCCACTGAACTTTAATGACTTCCTAAAAGCCCTGTCTTGATATATAGTCACATTGGGACTTAGAGCTTCACAGATATGAATAAGGGGGCGGGGAATGGGTGCAGCTTACCCCATGGTGGTGGTTAGACAATGTTTAGCTTGGCTTTAATGGACATAATTGAAGGCAGGAGGAGAAGGGGACGACGGAGGATGAGATGATTGGATGGCATCACCAACTCAATGGATATGAGTTTGAGCCAGCTGCAGGAGTTGGTGATGGACAGGGAAGTCTGGCGTGCTGCAGTCCATGGGGTTGCGAAACATCGAATATTACTGAGTGACTGAACTGACAGAATGGACATATGCTATTTATATTATTAAGACCTGAAAATGTTTGAGCTGGTAAGATAGTATCTTTTCTAGTACTTTCTAAACACTCCCCCTTCCCCATGAAGAGGGTGGATAGATCACCCATTAGACAATAGGACTGTCTGAGCATCTGACAGGTAGGGCCACTTCTCTGTTGCTTATCCAACAGCAGAAAGAATTCATTTTCTTTGGATTTGAAGAAACTTGATCCTTTGCGGGGGATCCTTTTATTATCCTGACAGAGGACTGCCTCAGATTGTTTCCTTGTTCTTCCTCTCTCTGTCCTTAGGTCAGAGTGGCTTCGATATCAAGACTTAGTCATTTTTCTCTTTTCTGCCTGCAGAACATGCCCTCTCCTCTAGAGGCTTCTAGTGACTGGTCCCTTTCTTTTCCAGGAAGCTAAAGAAGCTGTTTCGGAAGCTGAAAGATGAGACAGAATCTGAAGAAGCTGGCTCTGCCCATTCAAAGCATCCAGAGCAGTGGGACCTAGACTACAGCCTGGAACCGTACACTGGACTGACACCAGAGTATATGGAAATGAGTAAGATCCTATGGACTTTCCTTCTGCTGGAGGTGGGTTCAGATAAGGGGTCGGGGGTGAGGGGGAGGATTAGGAAAATCCCCAGGGCAGTGTCTGCGCCTTCGAAGGTTTCGTGGCTACCCGATGTCCCTTCAGGGCCACGTGGAAGCTAAGAAGGAAGGGGCAGAAGGAGCCTTGAGTTGAAGTACCTCATCACCCATTTGATACTCACATGGAGCCCTCTTCTCTTTGCATCTCCTCTCCTCATCTATATAATGAGAAGCTTTGTCTCTAGGTTCCTTCCCATGGTTTCTATCATGAGAGGCAATTGAGAAGTCTGAAATTTAAGAATGGACTTTCCATTAAGGAAGAGTAAAGTAGTCCCCTGACATCTGGGGCAAGGAATATCCATCTTGACAAGGAGAATAGAGGAGAGTCCCTCCCTCTGATCAGGCAGGGCTCAAAACATGTGAGCTTTTCTCTAAAAGTGGTGAGGATGTTTTGGGTAGGCGGTGAGAGGAGGATTTCTAGTTAGAATCTCTGATTGCCCTTGGATGCTCCTTGAGAGCGGGAGTGCGTGTAGCACAGGCTGGTAGACACGGTCATCTCAGATGTGGTTGGGGAGCCATGCGTTCTCCATCTTGAGCAGTGTCCCAGCTTGGACCAGCTGCCTTCAAATGCTTGGCCACTTGTGAATAATCCTGATCTCTCACTGGGGTGGATATTTGAGAAGTCTGTTTCCAAGACTTGGAACGAATGAATTAAAAACAGAGGACCAAGAGGGCAGATGTACCATCTAAATATTGACTCAATCTAGAGTGTGTGGAGAAGCATCAGTGAGATCTCACGACAGAATCACTCACTACTTTTTATCAATAGACCCTCATTGTGTTTGCATAATAGTTTCAGCCTCCTTTGGTTAATCCCTTCTCATAGGGGGCCACTCATGCCTCTGTGTATCAGGTACCTCACTTGTTATTTCTAATTGATATTTATCCTGTCTCTTCATAGTGTGTATGTGTGTGTGTGTGTGTGTGTGTGTGTGTGTGCATGTACACATGTGCATGTGTGTGTTTTCCTACTGTGGCTTCTGACATTTTGATAGATTTAGTTGCAAAGTTAAACAGCAATATGAAGGGTTTTCACTTCTATGTAGTTTGAAATTCTATTAACAAACATAAGCCCAGATATTAATTTACATCTGGGTTATGCATTTCAGAACATTTAAAATTTTGTTTTCTTTTCATGGAAATGAAAATATAACTATTAGTCTTCAGAGCATACTTACACTGTAATGGTTTATTTTTCATCCTAGCGAATAAGTGGCTGACTTCCTGGGGAAGGCATACTTTGGTGATTAGCATGTTTGACCTGTCAGTTTTCAGAAGCCTTTGGGGCATTGCATTTGTTGTTCCTGATGGTGGGTTTGGGCCTGTGTCCATCCACAGGGAGCCTCCCTGATAGCTCACCTGGTAAAGAATCTGCCCGCAATGCAGGAGGCCTGGTTTGAGTCCTGGGTCAGGAAGATCCCCTGCAGAAGGGATAGGCTACCTGCTCCAGTATTCTTGGGCTTCCCCTGTGGCTTAGCTGGTAAAGAATCCACCTGCAATGCGGGAGACCTGGGTTCGATCCCTGGGTTGGGAAGATCCCTTGGAGAAGGGAAAGGCTACCCACTCCAGCATTGTGGCCCGGAGAATTCCATGAACTGTATAGTCCATGGGATTGCAAAAAGTTAGACACAACTGAGTGACTCACTTTCACTTCCATCACAGGATGAGAGACAGTAGAGATGAGAACGTCAAGGCGTGGAGCTGGGGCACTAGATTGACGCCTCACTGGAATCCNTCTTGAGAGTCCCTTGGACTGCAAGCAGATCAAACCAGTCAATCCTAAAGGAAATCAACCCTGAATATTCATTGGAAAGACTGATACTGAAGCTGAAGCTTCAATACTTTGGCCATCTGATGTGAAGAGCTGACTCACTGGAAAAGACCGTGATACTAGAAAAGATTGAAGGCAAAAGGAGAAGGGGGCACCGGGGGATGAGATGGTTGGATGGCATTGTCAATTCTATGGACATGAGTTCGAGCAAACTCCGGGAGACAATGAAGGACAGGGAAGCCTGGCCTGCTGCAGTCCACGGGGTTGCAGAAAATCAGACATGACTGAGCGACTGAACAACAGCTGAGGGAGGGAGACAAGTCTGGAGACCAGAACAGTCTCTCCAACAATCCAGGCTGATACCGATTCAGCCTTGAGTGGGGAGGAAGCCTGGACCACACAGCGGCTTTTCATACTGGGTTCCCCCGAAACTCACTCACAGAACTCTTGAGGCCATTTTGCTAAGCTATCAGTCATTTTAGAGACATGATTATTTTATTATAAGTGAAAGAGCAGTGTTTCTGACTTAGATGTCCTTCATTCCTAGCACCTCTGGGTTATCCTCTTCACCCTTTATGCAACTGTTTGCCCCCAGTATGATCACAGATGAGGTACAGAATAAACTTTACCCAATGATGACTTCATCTAACTGTGTAGGCTACATGTGGTTGGAGGGTGTTCTGGTGTTCAGTCCTAGGCGTGCTGTGGCTGGTTACATAGCTTAATGGTTTTAAGTCAGCCAGGCCCTATTTCCTCATCTGAGAAGTAACTTTGATGAAAATAGTACCTAGTTTGTAGGATGCTTCTGAAAACTAGGAGATGAATCTGGAGTAGTTAACAATCAGTACTTGGGAAACTCCCCTGGTGGTCCAGTGGCTAAGACTTTGCACTGTCAGTGCATGGGGTGTGGGTTCGAATCCTAGTTGGGGAATTAAGATCCTGCATGCTGTGTGGCATGGCCAAGCAGATGTAAATCCAAACAGCCCGCCATCTCGATACGCTTTCAATGAATATTAGCCGCCACTGTCAGTGTCGAGAGTCTAGTTTCTTTCTCTTGAATCTAGAAATTGACTAAAAATCATCTGGAGGCCCTGAATGCAGTGAGCCCTGGAGGTTTTTCCCATCCCATCAGCGTAGGATCGGGTATTGATTTAAAGACTGAGAGTACGAGATTCCAAGGCAAGTCTAAGAATCACGCTGGAAACCTGAGATATAAGCATTCTTAGATACTTGTCCTTCCAGAGAACACGGAGGCCTTAGGGCTTTGCTTGTCAAGTCTGGCATCTCACATGGGCTCTTTTTTCGTCATCTGTTGATTTCAAACCTGCAAACTTTTGTTCCTCTAGTCATCCAAAAAATAACCGCTATTGTCTTCCTGACTCAGGAATTCAGTTATCCCTCGGTGAAGCCTCCTCTAGTTTCTTAAATGCAGCCCAGGCTTTGGGGCCCTCAGGCTATTCATGTGGGTGACGAGCCACAATTCTTCTTGTCATTGACATTGTCATTACAGGAGACCTCATTTTTCTTAGTAGCGTGATTACGATCCTGTCAAATCAAAAAGGAGTTGCATGGGTGATTGCGTATTTTGGAGTAAGTGCCAGATTCTTATTTTGAAAGATCAAGAGCTGTCAGTCTCCCCTGCTCTCTAGATACACCCACAGAGACATGTAAGAATTACCCAGCTGATGGGAACACACGGGACACCTTCTCTCCCCGCACCACCAAGAGACTCGGGCATCCATACCTCGCAGCTGCATCCAAGTTGTCTCATGAAATGGCAGATTGAAACTTCAGGGTGCGGGAGGCACATGGTTTGGTGTAGACCTTGAATATCTGTGACTCCTTTCTGACTTTGCCTCATCTCTAGCTGGCGAGAGCACTGCTCAGGATGATCCAGAACTTTATTTTTTTATCCATGGCTCCTTACCTCACTGACTTTGCGTGTTGACTGAAAAAGAAAATTGCACCATCCAGGTGATGTCAGTGGTAAAGAACCCGCCTGCCAATGTAGGAGACATAAGAGATATGGGTTCAATCCCTGGGTTGGATAGATTCCCTGAAGGAGGGCCTGGCAACCCACTCCAGTATTCTTGCCTGGAGAATCCCATGGACAGAGGAGACTGGCGGGCTACAGTCCATGGGGTTGCAAAGAGTTGGACATGACCTAAGTGACTGTGCATGCACATGCAGATGTTGAGAATTATGTTTTATTTGGCAGACATGCTAAGGACTTAAGCCTAGGAGACAGGCTTTCGGATAGTTGAGAAAGACTATTCCAAAGAGGTAAGGGAGGAGCCAGGATACATAAGTTTTTGCAAAAAAACAAAAAAGGTAATTATAACATCAAAAGATTACTGTTAATTAAAGAACAATCAGACATCTCAAATTAATGAATTTAGCACTTTTCTATGTCTGGGAAGGAAAGCTATGACAAACCTAGGCAGTGTATTAAAAAGTAGAGACATCACTTCGCCAACAAAGGTGTGTATAGTCCATGCTATGGTTTTTCCGATAGTCATGTATGGATGTGAGAGTTGGACCATAAAGACGGCTGAGTGCCGAAGAACTGATGCTTTCAAACTGTGGTGCTGGGGAAGACTCTTGAGAGTCCCTTGGCCTGCAAGGAGATAAAGCCAGTCAATCCTAAAGGAAATTAACCCAGAATATTCATTGGAAGGACTGATGCTGAAGCTGAAACTCCAATACTTTGGCCGCCTGATTCGAAGAGCCAGCTGATTGGAAAAGACTCTGATGCTGGAAAAGACTGAAGGCAGAAGGAGAAGAGGGAAACAGAGAAGATGGTTAGATAGCATCACCGACTCAATGGACATGAATTTGAGCCAACTCTGGGAGATAGTGGAAGACAAAGGAGCCTGGCACGCTGCAGTCCATGAGGTGGCAAAGAGTTGGACACAACTCAGCGACTGAACAATAAAAACAAAATGTCTGGGAAGATGCAAGAGTCTGGGGTCACTGAAATCATCTCTTTAATATACACCTTAGCTACCTGGGGCCAGGATCCTGTTTTCTCCATCCTGGATCCCCTCAGGCTGCACAGTCAGGGTGGCTGCAGTGGCAGGTGGCTTGATGGCCCTAACATCTTTTGTTGGCTGGCTGGCAGGTGAATTTCTTGGTCCGCAGTCTCTACTAAGAATTTTGTGTTGCCTTGTAA